AGAGACCAATGTCTACAGCCCAAGATTCATTTGGCATCTGAGTGGGTTTTGTTTTGTGGGGTGTCTGAGCACCCCTGAAAATGTATTTCATGAGTATGGGGCTTGTGACTCATTCTTTTAGGAGACACCCAGTAATCGTTGAGATCCACTAAGCTAACACATGAAGCATTAGAGGGGAATGTGGCGGGGAGCATGAACTAGCCGAGAACCATATCCCACACAGATCCATTCGTTAGCCCAAGGACACTAGTCTCAAGGGAGGCCTGTGACACTCTGAGAACAAGAAGCAGCCCAGGCAGGGAGAATGCTCCTCTTCAGAATCTCCTCCATCTCTGAGATTCTGCATTTTCTGTGTCTTTAGAGCAGAGAAAGCGCTGTAGCAGTCTCTGGCAGCATCTCTCCCCTCCCTCCCTCCCCCCCCCCCAATCTGTCCTCAATGAACTTGACATGCTTCAAACTCTTCACCCTCTGACAGCTTGTCAAATATTCAAAGCCCACCATCTAACCTTCATGTGACTCTTTCCTTTTCTAGATTTCCTTCAGACTTTCTTAGATCTCTTTGCCATCTTCACAGACATTCAACACAAGAGGCTTCTGTTAAAATGGATCTGCCACATAGGCCCGGGCCCGTGTCTTCAGGCTGTACTCCACATGCTGTGGAAGATGGCCCTGGCTCACAGTGAGACCTAAGATCCCTGATCTGGTTCAAGTATTGATAGCTAATCTCATTTACTTCTCGGCTTTTAAGGATGCAATAGCAACTTTCCCATCACTGACTTTTTGTTGTTGTTGTTGTTCGGTCGTGGGGCTTGAACTCTGGGCCTGGGCGCTGTCCCTGCGCTCTTCAGCTCAAGGTTAGCACTCTACCACCTGAGCCATGGCTCCACTTCCAGTTTTCTAGTGGTTTATTGGAGATAAGAGTCTCATGGATATTTCTGCCCAGACTGGCTTTGAACCACGATCCTCAGATCTCAGCCTCCTGAGTAGCTAGGATTACAGATGTGAGCCACCGGCACCCAGCTCTGACTTTTTTAAAATATAAACACATTTTATGCATTTGAGAGGTGACTGCTCAGTTTGCATACTTCCAAGGGGGACAAGTTTTTCCCACAGAACATGCCACAGGCCTGAAAGTGGAAAGAATGGACTGTGTGAGTCTCCACACAGCTCCCTTGTCACCTGCCATCTGCAACCTGCAGTTTTAGTGGCTTCTACCCAGCCATCTTGTAAAATGGATGATAAATTCCCTGAGGGAAGAGTCATCCATGTTAGCCTCTCTACATCGACAGAGTTTATCCCATTGGGAAATGCTCATATCAAGTTCATCACTGTATCTTATAGTTTCCACTTCCTGTCTCAGGTCATCTGCCCTTTCACCCCCCAAACTCTATCCCCTGTCCTCTCTTGGACCTGGGGTAGCACCTCAGGGCTCTGCTTTCTATCCAGGTACTGCTGGAAAAGTTTTAAAACTAATTGGATCCCACCGTGGGATCAGATTTTATCACCTGCATGATGTGAAGAACTTGCCCAAGTTTTTCTGCACAAGGCCACTCTCCTACAGAGCAGTCTGTACACCAGAGGAGCACAAGGCAAGAGAGGGGAGGGAGAGTTCCATCACAGATGAGAGAGGCCTATTTCAAAGAAAGGCCTCTGAGCCCACATCACCGCTTCTCAGAAGCCTTTCTGAACCTGCCCAGGTAGAAACACCTCTCCTTCCCTCCTGTCCTGGCCGTCTCTGACATAAAATGAAACCATATAGTATTTTCCATTTATTTTTTGACAAGGTTCTCTCTCATTGTTATATCAGAAGCCTCTTGTAGGAAGGCTGAACATTGTCTTTGAGTAAAACCTGGGTCTGGTTAAATGATAAATCACCTGCACAGAAAGGATCTCATTCTCTTCAGGAATGCCTGCCCAGGACTAAGTGGAAGAGCACTGTTAAACTCAGCCAGTGCTGAACTTCCTAGTTCAGGATTCAAGATCTACTTGAATCCTTTCCCCCTGGACAAGAGCAGTCGGACTTCTGCTAATGAATGGGCTGTGGTTCAGTCTCCCTGGAAAGCTCTGGTTCTCAGTCTGTGTTGGCATGGCTGCCCCTTCTCAACCAACAGCTGGACACTCCCTCCTCTCTGAACAGAGCCCTCTCCTGTGCATTCTTCTGACCTGGCAACCACTTCACTAGGCCTGCTTTATTTCTAAGCTCATTTCTCCTCTGGCCTCATGAGTTGCTGGTGAATCCAGGCCCCTGACATGGCCCTGGAAGACTATCTCTGATCCTGCTACACTGAACAACATCTACTGACTCCCACAGTATGCTATAGGAAGACCAGGTAATAAGGCCCTGGGACTCCTGACTACCCCCAGACAATTGCTAGAAGCTTTACTGGAATTACATTTAAAATTCTAGAGATCAGAGCTGGGGGAAAGGCTCCAGTGGTACTGTGCTAGCCTAACAAGAGTGTTGCCAAAAAGAAACACACACACACACACACACACACACCACAAATTCTAGAGCTCATCAAAGTGCTAAATAATACTAAAGAATTAGTGTAACAGCCGTACTAGTATGTTTTTAATGCTCCAGCTATAGTCACTGCTGTTATACTACTGTGTTGTATACTATTTGATACAATAGTATCACATCACGTTGTACTCCAAGGAAAATTGTACTAAATACTGAACAATGAAAGTAACACTAAATGTGGTGCTATCAGTAAGGTTAAAGTGTTGATAAGATTATTATTGCTGTTCTTGGACAGTTTCTGTTTCTGACACCTTGGCATTAAATGTGCTGTGTTCTAATCCAGGTGAGATCAGTCAGGACTCTTTAGGTTGTCCATGACAGATACCTGATGAAACTTAGGTCAAAGGTCAAAAGGAGTTGCCAAATGGCCAGACTCTTAGAGGAGAAGGAACACCACTGGGCTGCAGGGAGAGCTAAAGATCGAAGGCCTTGGCTTTCTCTTCACCTTGGCTCTCTTTGAATGTCAACTCTATCTTCTCTCACCTTTAGATGGGCTTTTCCCAAGTAGCCGAGATATATGGCCTGAAACGGTGAATTGTTCTCATGAATTCTTCTCCTAGAAAGGAAATAAACACTATCTCTTCCTGTCTTTCCCTCCTCCTTTCCTTCCTTTCTCTCTCTCTTCAAATATCATGAAAGAGGCACCTTATCCGCTCACCTCAAGTCTTGGGCTGCTTGATCAGAGAGAGGATATTGTGCGTGGCCCAGCCTGAGCCAAGTTCCTGCCCCTTCCAGAACATTCGTGGGGTCAATAGAGTGGGGAGTGTATCATGTGAAAATGTAGCAGCCATGGGCTGGACGCAGAGATTCATGGGAGCATCGTATTGAAAAGAGCAATAGAGTCAGACATTTGATATTGTAAGTACAACCTGTGCTCTCATTGTCTGAACCTGATCCCTCTCACTTCAAATTCAACTATATAGGAGAACAACAATGTGGCAGGGGCTGGTGGCTGGTATCCCTTGAAACGCTGGTGTCAAGAATGCATTTTTCACTTACATGCATCTCTCTATCAGATGTCAATTTAAATGGCTTCTATCATGTCATAAACTTCATCCATTGTTTTCAATTATTCAACCTATATTTACATAGCTCACATTCTACTTGATGTGGAAGATAGAAAGATGAGACAGACAGGTCCTGCCCTAAAGAGATTAGAGTCTAGTGAGAAAGATGACCACGTAAGCCTATAATTTCTACTGGGTTCTACAAGAACTATGATCAAGGTATGAGTTTGTCACTGTAGCATTAACATGGAGCCAGAGACTGGCTATATATTAAATCATCACACAGTTTCTCTTCCATGTGTTTCCTCTTCTCTAACCTTACAATTGTCCCTCCTTGTCCAGTGACTTTCCTGTATATTATAGTTCACTCAGCACAGCCTGGAGAACAAATGAAGCCTGACTTCATTTCTTTGCTTCACCCCGACATAAAACAGGGCTTTGAAATTACTTCTCGGGACCCCAAGATTCCCACAGAACACCCTCTAGAAAATGGAGGCAAATCCCAATCTGTCCCAGCAATATGGTGAAAGATCCTGACCTGTATTCACCAGCCTGTGTCCACTTCTGTCCAACCAATGGCACTTTGCTTTCTGTCAATGAGCTTGTGGCCACCGACACACCACACTCTTGTCCCCAGCACACCAGTCAGAGGCAGTCTGACGACCACTCTCTCTATGACTACGGATCTCATTAATGTTGTGGTGAAGAGGAGGAAGTCAGCTCTGGATGAGAAAAAGCCCTAAGTGTGCAGATGCAGGATTCAATTCTTTACAACAGGATGTCTAAGACTTCAAAGTATGCCTCGGTCACTTGAGACTTGGTCCAAAGTGAATCTGATTGAGATGGGACCCTAAATTTATATTTATGACAAACTACCAGCTGTAGTTGAAGCTGCTGGCCCACAGATCACACTTTAGGAAGCAAAGTCCTAGATGGAAGATGATAATTCATCTTAGAATCTCTGAAGAAAAAAAAATAACCAATTAATAGGCTGGTGGCTTTCTTAAAAAACCTTGAGATGGAAGAATATGACCTTGAAAAAATTATTTTGGAAACCTGTTTATAATAGGAACCCTTAGATCAAAGTTAAGAGGTCTTGTAATCTTACAAAACTATATCAAAAATGTCTCAGTGCTGGCTGGGTGTGGGGGCTCATGCCTGAAATCCTAGCAACTTAGGAGCCTGAGATCTGAGGCTCATAGTTTGAAGCCAGGCTGGGCAGGCAATTAAGCACTAAAACAGCTAGAAGCAGAGCTGTGGCTCAATTGGTAGAGCACCAAAAGCTCAGGGATAGTGCCCAGGCTCTAAGTTCAAATCCCAAAACTGGCACAAAGAAAAAAAATTCTCAGTTTTGAGTTGTAACAAGTCTTACCTTGAGCTAATTAACTCATATATTATTAGAACAAAAAAATTAAGGAAAATGCAAATTATAATCTATGGTATTTTTATCTTGTATTTTCTCTTTGTAGGCAATGTCAGTGAGAAAAAGGATCCAGAATGATTACTAACCTATGACTCCCAACAGTATGACAGGTATCTATATATTCTCTTGATTTTCTTTGTGTCTCCATTTGTGTTCCACCTAAAGTGAAGTGTAGAACTCCTAAAGGCCAATCTGATGGTCTTAGCAGCCATTATTGTCCTTGTGAAACATCCCTACAATGTGTTCTATAATCTTCAGAAACTATGAGATACATCATAACCAGGCTGATAATGGAGGGGCAAGGTTAGTTTGAAGACTTCCAAAGATCACCCTTGTACACTGAATTTTGTTCTTTATGGTTTCTCATATCCATATAGTAGATGGCTCTAGAACCTTACCAAGTCCGTGGATCTTCCCCAAAGTGGGCTGTTCATCCCACTCAACAAAAAACCCAAATGACACAAGAAAGCTATGAAACATATTAGCCAGGAACAACGCAGGGACTGAACAAACCTCAGAAGGATATAAGCTTCCCACAGCACACATTCCTTGTACAACACCTAGAGCAGAGTTTGCACACACACACACACACACAGGCCTCTGGTCAGGGGAGGGGGCGGGAAGGGGAGAAGAGGCAAATAAAAGCAATGACTGAAATGGATACAACAGTACTCAGCACACACACACCAATCACTGGAGAGCAGTGTGTCCAGATAGTGCTCCTTGTCAAGAGAAATAAGACATAGACTAGTGGGCCAGTCAAAATGTGTTGCCTGCTGTCAACCTCTGAGCTGTTAGTTTATGAGGCCTGATGTACACCCTTCAGCCTAGCACCAAGCCCTGTTCTTTTGATTCCCATGGCATTAGGGGAAGATATACCCATAAAACCCATAACTCCCAAATATGCAGGTAGTTCAATTAACCCCACCTCCCTACAGTTCCTCTGAGAATCCATTCTCTAGTAGACCTGAAAAACAAAAGCAACTGGAAGTTGCCACCCCACTGAAAGCTGGAAGACTCCCAATGCATACACAAACACGTTATCTCTCTGGCATCTCTGCCTTGCCTCTCTACCCACCAACGCTTGAGCTCCCGATGGAACAAAAACAACAGAGGACCCAGAAAACCAGAATGGTTCATCCCTCCGAAGGATGAGGACCTCAGAAATGCATCCCATTTCCTTCTCATCTTTCGTTCACATTTCACAAATACCAAAAGCTCACCCACTCCCAGTTCTGTCCAACTGCCAACAAAGCCAAACTCTTCCCTACTTAAATCTCTCTTACTCTTGCTCTGCCATAAACCCACTCTTTGGGTGGAAAATTGGCAAACATCAACCTTAGTGATAGCCCTGGGTTCATGCTGGACTGAACAGCACTCTTGGTCAGTAGAGTCATGGCTTAGGTCTTTATAGGTACATGATAGCAGTTAGCAGGCAGTGGCATTGAAAACCTAGGGAAAGTGTCTCCCTCTGCTAATAGACACGTGAGGTCAAGTATTAAGTATTACACAAAGGTGGCTCTATACTCTGATAATTTACCCACTTGAGAATCCTTCTAAAGACAGAAGGATGCACCTTCCTGAGACTTAGAGTAATAGCACAGACAGAAGACTGCACCTTCCTGAGACATAGAGTAATAGTGGCATTTAGTCTAACGGTGGGTAACACAATCATTTCTGCTCACAGTAGAGGGGACTTCTATGTCGTATTCCATAGAACAATCCATCCCAGGTTTTCCCCAGATCAGAGACTGATGCATTGACACCTGATTATGAAGGCTAATGAGTAAATGTTTCTAATTTCACTGACCACACGGTGACTTATCATAACTAGGCAATTCTGCCATGGCAGCATAAAAACTACAGGCCATACGTAAACATGCAGAAGTGACTGTGTTTCAGTACAACTTGAGTTGCCAAACAGGCAGCAGGCTATCTCTGGCCATAAACCATCCTTTTCTGATGTTTTTTTTCTAGAGTCCCTGACTGTGCTATTAGAACCGTCTAGCTCCAACCCATAGCGGTGTTGAGCAGAACCCCTGCAGCTGAGTGGCTGGAGGCTGAGCTGGAGGAGTCACCCTTCCAGCACTTTCTTCCTAGTGTAGAAACTAACTGTAGGTGGTTGTATTTTCATAAGAGACAACTCCATTAAATGAACATGCTCAGGGTATGGCAAAGGGTTGAAAAAAGAGAATCATTACGTTAGAAGCTCATTTTATATATGAAATGAAAGTGTCCCTTTCTCTCTCTTCCTTCTTCCTATTTCCCTCCCTCCCTCCCCCTCTCTGTCTCTCTCTCTCTGTCTCTGTCTCTCTGTGTCTCTCTGTCTCTCTCTCTCTCACACACACATACACACACACACACACACACACACACACACACACACACACACACACACTTTGTCTCTCTCTCTCACTCACTGTGGGGCTGGGCTAGCTACATGTTTAGTTTATAAAACCTAAAGGAAAAACCATAATATACTCGTAAGCTGTTAGGACTAACTGCTTGCTCTAGGAGCAAAATCTGAAAGCCAAATATTCATATTTTTTTCTTTCTGTTTTCCTAAAAGCAAGCAGGACAGCTTTTCCATATACAACCCACATAAATTTTTGGTACATAGGTTCTTTCATTTCTAATGCCTACTGAATTGCTTTAACCCACTTAATTTTAAATTAGGACTTCATAAAGTTTCTCTTCAAAAAGAAAAAAAACTGATTCCTAGAGAGGAAATAAGAAAGTACCTTAACATGATGTCTTAATAGTCTGGAATTAGGCCTCACTTCCTAGGTGATCTGAGGGGAGCTCTGCTGACATGTATGACATGTGATGAGCTCTATTTTGAATAAAATCATGATTTACAGCATGGGGGAATTTTTATCTAAGCTAGGAATACCTAAAAATTTTCAATACCAAAGTTAGAGGCTCTCGGCTTTATTTGAAAAGAAAAGCAACAAGAAGGCAGAAGCAAGGGTCTGTAGGGGTGTGTGTGTGTGTGTGTGTGTGTGTGTGTGTGTGTGTGTGTGTAACCAGGCAGCAGGAAACTAGGAGTTGGCATTAAGTTAGCACTGTTGCCTTTGAAACTGGACTCTTCAAGAGACAGTGGGAGGCTTTAAAAACAGGCACCAGCTACCAGCACCTTTCAGGGGGAAAAAAAATGAATAAGCAAGACAACAGTACGTACTTGAAATCCAACAGGCATTTAGTATGAACCACATATTCCTCGTTCCTTGCACTTCCGGTGAGGTATTGTTTAACCTCCCTGTGGTGTTCATCTTCCATCCCTCTATGGAGGCATCCGCACGGATGTAGCAGAGACGATGCTCGCTTCAATGGAGCTCAGTACTTGCCCCTGGCTCCCCCTCTTGCATTGTGCCCTTTGGGTTGCCCTGCATTCGTTTGTTTTATGAGTGGTATTCTGTTAAGATAATTCAGTATTTGCATTTTCTTTATTACTTCTGGGGTTGAGTATTTACATATACATTGTCTACTTGGATTTCACCTATAACTTGATGTCCATAGTTACTGTCCATTTGCCTATTATGAACTTTATCTTTTTTGTTTTTGCTTTACTTAATGAACCTTGTTTTACTTAATGATGCTTAAGGATATCAACTAAGGAAGATACTTAATGTCTCTAAGTCTTGTGTTCCTTATGAGTTAAATGAGAGTATGACTAACGCATTCCTAACTCTCCTCTGCTTTGAAGATCCTATTATTTATGTTTTAAAATTGAATAGGAATTAAATTTTCATAATGTAACACATTGATGGGTGAACATAAAAAAGTAAGCCCTGGAGCAAAGTGTTTTGTGTTTTGAGACTATTCTACGAAACCAGCCTTTCAAAGCCAAACAAAACTCTGGAAGGGGTAGCCTATGGCATTTTTTCCAAGGGTCTCTTTCCATCAACTGCTCTTCAATAGCCATTCATTCCTTCAGAAACAGAATCACAGTGTCTGCATGTCCTGCCAGTAAGTACGTAGCTTGGTGTGGTTACTGACAGAAGGTTGCTGACATGCCTCCAAGTTAACTAATGGCCTCTCACTTGCTAGGCAACTCCTCTACCACTTAAGCCACACCTACAGCCCAAAGATAGCTAGTTTTACCAGTGAACATAGTGTTAATGTTTCCTGTTTCAATAAACAGTCTTCAGCCAAAGGCTCTTACTCATGGATACTGAGTAATTCATAATAGTGATATTGTCCCTGCTTGTTAGCCTGTTAAGACTACATTACCAGAATAGTAGAAGATGAATATATATTTGTTGGAAAATGGGAGATATTTTATAATTACCTGCTTTGTGCATAATTTTGCACCTGTTTTTTTTCTCCCTCTAGATAAGTCCTAAGTAAAAGGAAAGGCTAAATTGAAGAACTGAACATCATTAAAAACACTGTTGCCAAATTATAACTAAGTTGTTTGCCCAATGGAGGTAGCCAACAGCAATGCAAATTTCATTTAATCATACCCTCTAACTACAGAATTTGGGGGAACTTAGTCTCTTTGTGTTGAGGAGGTCGTTTATTAAGTAAAGGTTTTGTTATTTTGGTTTGGCTTTTGTACCAGGACTAGAATTTGAACGCAGGGCCTGAGTCTGTCCCTTAGTTTTTCACTCAAGGATGATGCTCTATCACTGAGTCACAGCCTTACTTCCAGCTCTTTCTCATTAATTGGAGATAAGAGTCTCACAGACTTTCCTGCCCAGCCTGGCTTAGAACCATGATCCTCAGATCTCAGCTTCCTGAGTGGCTAGGGTTACAGATGTAAACCCTTGGCACTCAGCTTTAAGCAAAGTTTTACAACTTTTGAAAACTATCAATTTTCCTTTTTAAAATAATTTGGTTTACATACTCACAAATGAATCAGTAACAAAAACTTTTATTGTTTCTGAAATGTATATGTTTGTCTATTGTAGTATTTGTCTTTTAATATTTTTATATCAAAAAATTCATTATCTATCATAAATATTAAAATATTTTCCAAAATTAGTAGATGTGTCTTCTTTTTATTTATGACATTTTACCTTTAAAACCTTTTTTTGTCTGGTTCTTGGTGCTTACACTCAGGACCTGAGCACTGTCCCTAAGCTTCTTTGTGCTCAAGGCTAGTACT